CTAGAAGCACTAGCAGTTTTTACATTGCCCTCATTCAATTTTGACTCACAGGATTTGGAGCTGGAGTTTGGTTTCTTAGCAGCAGGCGGATCTCTGTCTCAGGCTCACAGAGTCTGGATTTAAGTCGCTTCATTTTTTGTACTTTGACAGACTCTTAAAACCAGTGTATTGCTTTCTGAGCCCCAGGGTCTGCTGACAGATATGCTCTCGTAATTCTTAGTTTGTTTTGCTACTACTTTCAAATAAGCCATTGTTTGAAGAGAAAAATCACCCTCTAAATGCTGGGACAATTCCTCTGGGCTTTCTTTGTGTCTTAAATATTGGCCTTACTTTTTATTTTTTTGGCCTTGCAATTCTTAAATATCCCTGTAGGGCAATGCTCCTTTCCATATATTTGTTTTCAAACACTTTTATCTACTAACAGCAAGAGATCTGGACTTTATAAATGGCTTTAAAATATGGCTTTAAAATATGCATTTGAGAAGGTGGAACGTGACATGATGAATGGTACAGCATCAGCAACTTAGACCGACTTTGAAGAAAATGTAGATGAGTTTATGTAAGTAGACTGATAAAGCAAAGCAGGCAAACTGTTAATACTGATGAATTTAGGTGTTTCAACACTAGTTGGGCTGAAGTGTTTGTTCATATATTATAACCATTCATCATTTTAAAAAGCTGGTGGGAAGTACATGTATTCAAGTAGGCTGCACCAACTAACACTCCTCCAGATCCCAGCATGGGATCAGCATGGCTGTTCTAGAAACTAGATATTTGCCCCGTGTAATACAATGGCACGGTTTATTATATTTTATAGACAGAGGAGGAAACCTAGACTACATGGCTCAAACTTTCCCATCCTTATTCTTATTCAGCCTTCACGTAGGAAATGTTTTATTAAAAAGTACTGACACATAAGTTGGTCAATACCATATAAATTTTATGCCACTTGTTAGGCTCTGTGGTTGATTTTTGGTCAGATTCAATACAGTGAGCAGAAAGCAGAGATTGATTCAAATGACAGCTTCTCCTCCTCTAACATTGGCTCTGTATGAAATCAAGGGTGGAGTGAAGGCAGGGGCGAATGACTGTTACATAGAGAGCTCTTCTTGCTAACTACCCACCTCTAACCGAACAATTATGGCTCTTGGACCTTCAAGGGGATCAAGAAGAAGAAAAGGCAGGTTGATATATTTGTGGACTATTCCTTCAATTCAACCATTGTAGCCTTTTTTCCCCTTCTCTCACATTTCACTATCTTCTGACTCTTCTTTATTAAGGTACATCTTTAGGACAGGTAGATCTTTAGGACCAAGTCCTGTTAAGTGTGTTCTAGGTGGATTGTGTTCATCTTCTGTATCTCTGATTCTCTTTTCTACTGGTTTCTCCTTCTCTCTTTTTCTTAATCCCAACACGGTGAATGCACACCAACACTCTCAGGTAGTCTTTTTAATAAGGATGGTTTACTATGTACAACACCTGCAACAAGGAAGGGTTTTCTGGAATTTCTAACCTTACGTCTTTCATCTTTCCTGTCTTCCTTTGCATCTTAGAAGAGCGAATAGATAGCAAGTATGTTTTCTAAGTTCTTAATTTTTTATTCAATCCCAGGCTCATTCCTTCTAATACTAAGCTTCTGAAACTAAGTTTTTAAAGATATTTTTATAATTAAAAATTTTCCTGTGAGTTTTAGATATTGACCATTTTTTGGCAATGCTTTGTTGAGATACAATTCCCATAGCACACAATTCACCCATTTAAAAGTGTACAATTCAATGTATTTAGCATAATCATGACGCCTTACAATCATCACCACAATAAGCTTAGATCATTAGCATCTCAAAAGAAGGTCACCTGCGTTTCAGCTGTCAGTCCTTCCTCTTCTGTCCTCCACACCAGGACGAAACGTCACAGATCTACTTTTTATCTTTATGTATGTTGCTGACACACCCAGTAAAGGAGAGGGCTAGAATCCATGGCTTTTTGTGAATGATTTCTATCATGCCATGTAACGTTTCTCAAGGTTCATCATCTTTTAGAATGTTCTGTTGGTTTCCATTTCATTACTTTTGACTCTGAGCTTTATTATTTCTTCTATAACTCCCTGGATTGACTCATTCTTGCTGTTCTAAGACATTTTGGCATATCATCAGGTTACTTACTTGAGAATTCACTGACTTAAAAATGTATTAACAAAGGAGGAGGCCAACAATGCTTGATAAGAAATGTACTCAGTACCTTGCCCAGTAATTGTAACCCCTCTGTACGGTATTTTCACAATTAAAAAAAAAGGAAAAAAAGAAATGTACTCAGTACCTTGCTCATGTAACTGTAACCCCTCTCTCTGTATTTTCACAATAAAAAACTTATTAAAAATATACATGTCAGCACGCATTGCTATAAGCGTCCTTTTCAGTTTGAACATTGTTGTTAACCCACAGATCCTAGTAAGTTGTATTTTTAATTTTACTTGATTTTTAGGATTTATTTTTTTCCTTTTGTCCATATTGGAATTTGATCTTGGGGCCTTATGCTTGCTAAAGCATGTACTCTTCCACTTAACCATTTTTGCTTTATCTTCCAGATAGACTTGAATTTGGGGGGGCTGGGCTGAATTTGGACAATGATTGTCCTATCTGTTTCCCATCGAACTAGGATTAAGAGCATAGACCACCATGCCAAGCTTTTTGCTCAGCATCTTCTCAAGTATCTGGGATAGTGTCGGCTTATTCAAAGCATTTAAAAATTTCCCTGTTGATGGCTCAGAAATATGTTGTTCAACTGTCATATGTCCGTGCAATTTTGTACAGACTTTTTTCTGTACAAATGTGTACAATTTCTGTACACATTCCTTTTGCCGCATATTTCATTTTTATTCCATTATGATCTGATACGATATAAACATTATTACATAACGTTTTTATATTTGATAAAAGGTCTTTTATGGCCTAAATTAAATGAAATTGTGGTCTTTAAATTAAATGTGGTCTATTTTGGAGGAAGTTCAGTCAGCTGTTGAAAAAATTATCCTGTCACATTATTTTTTTCTTCTTGTTTCAAATATGTTGTGTTTGTCTCATTGATTTAATTTACAAATTTGTTGGTTTAGTGACCTGGACATCTTTGGTTCTTTCTTAGCTTTCATTTATGCTTTTCTAGCAGGCTTTAGTATTTCCTGAGCTTTTGTGATCATTCATCTTTTCCTTCTTCTATGTACAGAATTCTTCTCTCAGAGAAGTCCTCTTTTCCAGTCTTCTACCCACACTTTCTGTCCTGCCTCTTACCTTGCCTCAGAGTTGACATGCTATCTAGCTCACCCCTGTTCTCATAACCAGGATCGGAGTTTCACCTAGTCACTTCCTAGATGGATGTGTATGTCCACTTTAAACTGTGCACGGTGGATGTATATATAAAACACCATTGATTGCCCCATGGCATGTACAGTATTTATGCCTTTATACACCTTTAATGTGCAAGTATACATATGATAAATATATTATAAAAGTGGAGTCATCATAGGATTCTGAATGTGCCAAAACTATTGGCTTTTAGTAGCTAACTAAGCCCTAAAAGAATATTTGAATCTAAGAGAAATTCAGAAAGGAAATTTAAAGAAGTATAACTTTGTTCAATAGTCAGTTTACTTAATACCCTGATATAATCCAGAAAATTAATGTCCTGCTGCTGATCTGAACTGGTAAAAGTGTCCACAAGGAGCTCTTTACAGAGATGGCTTGAATGGCTATATAAGAGTAATTTCTAATTATAAGATCCAAATGGTAAACAATAAGGAACTTACAACCCATTCTAAATATAGTTTAATTTTCTTTACTGATTTTCACAGAATTTCAGTCCTTTCAGTGAAATTTAATGAATTTCTTTCTCACTGAGCTTGACATATTACACATTTTAAAATATAGAAATGTGACTTAATGAGTGTTTCATTGACTTTCAGTGCTAAAAGTAGAATATTTTTCCAAGCAAATTGATTCCAACCAAATTAATTAATTCTGGGCAGGTGGGCCTGTCTTGAGTGTTCCTTCTAGTCTTGGCTACCTAAGAAGAGTAGACTGGCTCATTTTTTATCTTATCTACTGCAAGGCCATGGAGACCTCAAATCATGTCTCATGTGCTATGTGTTTCAGAGAATTCATCATCATGCTCACCTCCCACTGGGCAGGCCCTCATTCATCACTGAAGTCAAATGCCCTAATTCAGATTTTGGTTTGTTTTCTGGCCATGGAGGAGGATGAGCTGAGATGGGCTGGTGATTTGGCCATCAGGCTGCCATTACTATACTATACTATCTTTCCTGTCAGGACGTATGTCATACCTGGGGCACATATGGAATTGACAGTCAATTACCAGGCATTTCATCATGGCGAAACACATTGTTTTTAATCTAAACAAAAGTAGTACAGTCTTGTGACACAGTCCAGATTTTAAGTGTGGGTGAAGTGATACATAATTTTGAAGATGGAAACCAGAGCTCTTCCATTTGTTGTAGAACATAGTCTCAAGAACCTCAGAAACTATGGAGAAAGCATGGAGAGAGTGAGGAGATGACAGGCAAAGGCAATCAGGGAAGTATCTACATGTGATTTCTTGCCACCGTTGTGTTATGAATAGGACACGTAGCATCTTGGTTTATAAGGCTTGAAGGCAGTCCTTGTTCAAATGTGACAGTGGTGGTCTCAGATTCCAAATTCATCTCCACAGAGCAGTACAAATTCATTTTTATGAACAGAAATGAGCTGAACAATAAAAACTTGAGACCCAAATGGATAATAACAATTGCTGTATAAAGGTGCCTGTTTTAATTAGAGTCATAATAGGATTTTTTTTTGGTGCCAATTCTGGAGCTTGAACTCAGGGCCTGGGCACTGTCTCTGAAGTTTTCTGCTCAAGGCTGGTGCTCAACCACTTGAGTCACAGCTCCACTTCAGCATTTTGGTGGTTACTTGAAGATATGAATCTCACAGATTTTCCTGCCTGGGCTGGCTTTGAACCACAGTCTTAAGCTCTCAGCCTCTTGAGTAGGTTGGATAACAGATGTGAGCCATGGGTGCCTGGCTACTGTTATCCTTTTAGTAACCCCTTCTTCTGCAAGTGGGGTAGTCCAGATGACCATCATAACATTCCACACGCAATTGTGTTTCTGGTGAGTGATAAAATCTATATTGACATACAAATTCAACTGTTTCTCCTGATTTAGAATAAAGCTTTTGCTGTTCTCTCCACTTGAGCATTATGTGATGTCTTTCCATAATTTCTTCTGATATTACACATGGATCTAAAGAAAAAAATCATAAAATATTACAATTCTTCTCCAGAAACTGTCACTTTTTTTTTTCATTTTTAAAAAAATTTAGTTTTCTTGTCAAGATGATGTACATAGGGTTACAGTTACATACATAAGGTAATGAGTACATTCCTTTCTTTGTTTTGTTTTGCTTTGTTTGTTTCAGTCCTGGGGCACACACACACACACACACACACACACACACACACACACACACACACCACCCAAGACCGGAGGGAGGGTGGAGTAGAGATGGGAAGAGGCGGGCAGTGTGCGCCGCAGGGCCATGGCTGGTGAAGGGGAAGTTGGGTGTGATCAGCTCACAAGTGCTTCTCTCTACCGACGCACAGACCACCTGGTGATCTGTGATGATCATCCCATTGATCACCTTGCCATCCTCAGGATGACACCATCCTCAGCCCGCGCCCCCCGGAGCCTTCACCAATCAGGGCCGTGGAGAGGGAGAGCATGACCCCCCAGGGGTGCGCACCCCCTGCCACGGGCCCTTGGCAGCCAGGCCCCGGGAGCGGGGGTTCGAGTCCCCCGTGTGCCCCCCG